TTATAGGGGCTGCCCGATGTAGTGGAGAAAATATGTGCAATGGTAACAGAGCTGGGATACCATCATGATGGTTAGTATGTGAATGAGTTGTAAGCCTGCAACTCTGAGGTTGCCAGGAGATGGCAGTGTTGAGTGTCACCGTCTCGTAAGCGCGGGTTTTCTGATGGTACTCGGAGATTTCCTGCGACTCAAATCCAAATGCAGTAATCGTAAATTATGGCGGCCAAACATCCCAGGGAGGACCCTGCTGGGTCTATATCTTGCGCAGGTTTGTGTTTTGGCCGACTTTTATGGACGGCAAGGTTGGTGCCGCAGTGGTAACATGAATACTTTTAGAGCAAGACACAGGTAACATTGTGCGTAATAAGGAGGTGGAATTTGCTTGAATTATTGAAGGGAGCGCAGTTGTGGGTGAGTACGTATTTTGTTGGATGGGTGAGAATTTTGGTAGGTGAGTGAATGGGATGGTTGGGGTAGGTAAGCGATTACAAATTTGAGTGGGCGAGAGAGTATTTAGGTGGGCAAGTGGGTATTTTGGTAGGTGAGCAAGTGAATGAAAAGTGGCGTGGGCGAATTAATATTTGAGCGAGCGAGCAAGTGGCGAGCGGATGCTTGAGTGGGTAGGCGAGCGAGCGAAAACACGAGCCGGCAGGCATTTGGATGGACGAGCAAGCGAGCAGTCAGTGATTGAACACGAATGTCCATGTACTTGCGTGTTCCACATGAAGCACAGAGTGTTGAGGTTAATAAATAAATGCTGCGTGTGTACGCGCGGTCCCACGTGCCACGCAGAGTGCGCTGTATGTCACGTGGGACGTCGCGGAACAAAATTAAAAAAACTATTTTTTATTTGACCAGGTAAGGAACACCGAGCTACGTAGCTCTTTTTCAGAAGCGACCTTGCCACAAATGATAGCTCAACGAAGTGGCTTCTCATCACGTGGAAAATTATAATAGCCAAATACTATAAAACGCACGTCGATTGTAAATGTGTAGGGGAAAATCAGGAGAAAAAAATCAGGCACGCGCAAAACGTAACGACAATTTGCAACTGAACGGAAAGAAAACTCAAAAAACGTGGGGAAAGCGCAGCCTGGCGCGGTGGGTCATGAGCACCGTTTAAGAGGTGGGAACCATCGTCATTTGCAACCACTGCTCTCTCCCGGCTCCACGCACAGCCCCGTGAATGTTTCATCTGCATGGCCCACATCACTCCCCCGCGCCTGCACCCTCGCACGCCTCTCCTTCATATGCAGAGGACCTTTGAGGACCCGAAATGTATTTAGTCCATGAGCCTCCACCAGCTATTTCACTTGTCGGTACCAGCGGACTTTGGTGGTTACCAATTTATGTATGCCAATTGGTGACCTCCAGGTTTCCAATTGCTTTATGTGGCTGATAATAGTGAATAATGTGATCACGTTTCGAAATAATTTGGTTATCAACCAATCCACTCTTATTGGCCACGTGAATTACTCGGTGTGACTTGATATGTTTTCTACCTTAGTCGGTACCGCTTTCTGCTCTAGCCTATGGACAAATGATGCGAAGACATGCGTTGGCACGGCACCAGCCGGGTAAAGGATCACTTGCGTGTGCGTTGCGTGTGCGCCAGGTTCAATGCCCACAGGCGGAGGCGGATGTTGCTGCTGCCTATTATGAGATCATACAGTAGGTGAGCTCTCCTGGGGCTCGGCAACACCGCCCCACTTTTCCGTCCACCAATGCCACGGTTCGTCCCGACGAGTGGCGCAGCAGCTTGCTCCTCCGCCACGAGGGACACAGCCGGCAGCATCCGTCGCACCAGCACCACCCGGGGACGGTGACCACGCGTTCAGCTCGGGGGGTGGTGGGGGGTGGTCTGCCCATTGGGGACGCACCGCCTCGCTCGCGTATGCGACCCCTTATGGCAACCCCGCCGTGGGGAGCGGTAGCGTGCCGGTTAGCGCGCTGCGCTAGGATCATGGCTACGGCCCGAGTTCGATTCCCGCTCACGGCCACCAACACCAGTGACGATTATCTGCACCGGTCCTGGGCCTCCCCTAGGTCGACTCAGCCTCAAATGAGTACCCGGTGCGGTGATGCACTCTAGGGAGACAAAGGCGGTCGGGCGTGGTGCTGCCTACCCACCCCCTAGTGTGCCGTGGCGGCCTTCATAGGAGCTCACGAACAGCACTTGCCCCAACAGTCTGTTAAGGCTACACGGGGCATCTCCGTCTTTGTCAACCCCACTGCTAGTCGAGGGCCGCCCTCAGCAGCTGCCTGCCAACGCTTCGCCGTGCTGGTCGGTGAAGTAAGGGAGCATAGACTTGGAAGCATAGTACAGTACAACAACGTGCTGCTGTGCTGCCCTGCCCTCCGCTGCCCACGACGAAGCATCGCGGCGGCCCAAGAACCCACGAGGCTCAAACGCCCGCTTTGTCTGCCCAGATGTGGCGAGGCGAGGCAGGTGATTGTGGCCAGAGGCGAACATGCAAGGCGCGCACAGCAGCCACTGGGACTGGATCGCCTCGGATCGTATCGCCTCGTGCGAAGGCTCGAGGGGGGGGGGGTCGTAGGGAGTTGTTTAATGGCCACTAAATTTGGCTTGCGCCCATTCACGCACCATAAGCGCTCGCGCTGTACACACGAACCGCGCTGTGCGTGTTGGGTAATTCACGTTGGATGCATTCCCAACAAAGGAGAAAGTATCGATATGTATCGGGAAATCTGTCCGTTGGCTCCAAGTGCCTCTTTCCCCGTTCGCGTTTCTCGGCAGCAATCCGACAACGGCGGTGTCTTCACGAGCGCGCTCGATAATTTACCACCGAGGCGGAGTAATTAGTGCACTCGCGACACGAAAGCAAAGCAAAGCCCGAGTTGGATTCCGGGCCACGGCTCAACTGGACCTCGACTCAACAACCATCCGGCCAGGTTAAGCAACCCACACAACGAGCGGCGGCGGTGACGCTTTGTCCACACAGCCTCCAACAGCATGGGCTGGGGGACGGGGGGGGGGGCATTCATCCAGCAGTTAATTGACAAAGGGATTAACGTTCGGATAACCATTATTATTTACAATACTTGGCGAGCGCGTGTGTGTGTGTGTACACAGCTGCGTGTAGCGGCGGACGCGGATCAACACCGCAATTAGGGGTTGCGCAACAGGCAGGGCCGGACGTTCAAAGCGGCAGGAACAGACGCCTGCAAACTTCACCCTCCTGCACACACGAAGAAGACAAAGGCCCCCCCCCAATAGGCAGACATAGAGAATGTTGGCTCAAGAGCTGTCAGCGAGAATCTATTTAAGGCCGGAACGTCGCGCGAGTGGGTGGTGTGGCCAAGACCCACGCCGGGCCGCCTTTGTCTCCCCCAGTGCCGATGTTGACAACGCCGCACCAGGAACTCGTCGTGGGGCCGAGTGCACCTTAGGGGAGGCTCCCAGGACCGGCTTCGATACGACTCGCCCCGAAGGCTGGCCGTGTTTGGGAATCGAATTCGGGTCGCCAGGTTCATAGCGCAGTGCCGCTAACCACGAAGCTATCGCCCCCCTAGCCGACACTCGCCTGTATATATACACACACAGAGACACAACGTAGACAAAGCTCCCCCGTGTAGCCCACACAGACTCTTGGGGACAAGTGCTGTCAGCGAGCACACATTCAGGCCGGAAGCGTCACAAGATTGGTTTGAGTAACCAGCACCACGCCGGCCGCCTTTGTCTCCCTAGTGGCGATGTTTGCACACCGCACCAGGTACTCATTTGAGGCTAAGTCGACCTAGGGTAGCGGGGGGTGCCCAGGACCGATTCAGATAATTGTCACTGGTGTTGGCCGCGAGCGGGATTCGAGCTCGCTCACACAGCGCGCTCACCGCTCCACTCCCGCACCAGATAGTCACACAACGCACCCACAACGACACTCACCTGTACACACACATTCGCTCACGTCAACATCTTAGCTCGCGGGACACTCGATAATGATCATCGCTGCACGACTACAAATAACACAACGAGTGCTCCTATAGCGTCCATAGACCGTTAGGGGACAAGCGTCGGTTAGCGGAGAAACAGTGCAAAGGGGGAGGTGGGCTGTGGAGTGTAGCAAGTTCCGAAAGGTCACTCGCCACTGATATCACTCGTCAGTCGCGGCCGGGAGTTTAACTCGGGTCGCCGGGGTTCGTAGTGCAGCGCGATGACCACTACACTACCGCTCCCCCACGTTCACATGCGCACACACACCGATACACGCACACATCTGCAGACAAAGACAGCTGCACACACGAACAGATATCGCCTTGACACACACACACACGCACACACACACACGCACACACGCACACGCACGCACGCACACGCACGCACGCACACACACGCACGCACACACACGCACGCGCACACACACACGCGCACACACGCACGCACACACACGCACACACACACACGCACACACACACACGCACACACACACACGCACACGCTCACACACGCACACGCACGCACACACACACGCACACACACACACGCACACACACACGCGCGCATTTACCTGTAGGCGCTCAACGACACCGCACCTGTACTGACGCCCGTGCGCGCGCACCACACACACACACAGCTATCACCTGTACACACAAAGATCCCACGTATAGCCTTACCACACTGTTGGGGCAAGTGCTGTTAGCGAGTAGAACCTACACGAGGGGGTGGGTGGTGCAGCACCACGCCCGGCCCTCTGTCTCCCTAGTGAAAATGTTTACACACCGCACCAAGTACTCATTAAAGGCCGAGCCGACCTAGTGGAAGCCCAGGGCTGTATCTATGTATGTTGAACTTCTTTCGCACCGTACGTAGCCACCCGTGCTAATCGGAGGTGCGGTGTCGGATAATGACAATCGTCGCTGGCGTTGGCCGTGAGAGGGAATCTCCCTCGGTTCGCCGGGCTCGCAGCGCAGCGCGCTAACCGCTACGCTACCGCTCCCCCACCTGTACACACCTGCACAAACCTGCACACACACGCACACACCTGCACACCTGCGCCACCGTCTCATCCGGGATGCGCGGCGCACGCGGCCGCGGATCGCTCCTCGCTCGTCGCCCGCGCGCACCGCCAGCGACGACGGTGTGATCCTTCCTCCTCCGCGTTCCATCCACAGTCACCACTTCCACCCCCCCTCTCCTCACCCTCACTTCCCTCCGCAGCTCAGCCGGTCGGTCTGTCATTTACCGTGAGAGGTGAAGCTCGGTCACTCTCCCCCCCGGGGCTGCTGCTGCTGCTGCTGAGGAGGAGCAGGAGGAACTCCTGGGTCCCGGAGACTTCTCCTGGCACTGTGAGAGCGCCGTGCGGAACGAGGGCGCGGGGCGCATTGCGAGCGGAGAGCGGCAGCAACGGCGCTCAGGTGCGTGTCTAGGGGGGGGGGGGCGGCGCGCTTCTTATCCCCGAGCCCCGCCCCCGAACCCCCCTCTCCCCTCCCTCCCCCCCTCCCTCCCTCCCCCAGCGCACTGGATACGCGCAGACCCCAGCGAAGGGCCCCGTGCCGTCGGGTGTTCCTGTGCCGGTGCAATTGGTCGCGCCGTTAAGGAGCGGGTTCCCCCATCGACCAATGCAGTGGCGACTCGGCCGCCCGGCTCCGCCCTATTCGTGGCTCTAGCCACGCCCCCCGTGGATCACTGCGAGTGGGAGGCGGTGGCCGTGGGGGGGGGGGTGCCGTCTGCAGCAGCAGCAGCAGCCTTGACCAATCCACTGCTGGATGGCAGCTTCCTCCCAAGGTCGCCCCCAATAATCTATGACGATCACGGGCGGAGTTCTGCCTGGGGGGGAGGGCACGGGGGGGGGGGGCAATGCCTCTCACCCCCAAACTGAACACATTTCTTAATTTATTTTCAGTTGTTTACAATTAACATGAATTAATTCATTATATACGCGATTCATAATGTGAGGGTTAAAGCGAATCGCTGCCCCCACCACCCACCCCCCAAATATAGAAGTAAAACTCCGCACTGTGATTACGATCCTGCCATGTAATAAATTTACCCGTCACCATCTCAGTCCGGACTGATTTAAATCGCTCTCCACGGTCGTCCACTCGGGCGCGTTCCGTTCATTTGCTGCCACTCCACCATTATTGTTGGACCGCCTCCCACCGTCAGTGTCCCTGTGCGCTGCGAAACTCCCCTTGTGTGTGATGTCGTACGAAAGTGAATCGAGTAAGGGTTATACTAATAGGGTTTTTCCCCTTTTTTCTGGCAACAAAACTGACACCTTTTGCAAGGAATCATGCTTACATTAACCACAATACTTGCAGTCAAATGCAAACAAAAAACAATACTCTGATAATTTATGCATTGTCTTTGAAACTGATTGGTCCACACCAGAGACAGCTTTCTTTGGAGCCTAGTTTCATATGGTAGGAAAAACCCTATTAGTATATTTTGGTACTGGCAAAGGAGGTCCCATGATGAAACGAGTAAGGGTTGTTCTTTTTTTTTGTTTAAACATCTATTCCCGATGAGACTAAGTTGATGAACTGATATTTGCGTCGATTGACCAGCAAAAGTTGGAGTTCTGAATCGGAAGAATAAAAGTTTGTAGTCGTGCGGTGGATGTCCGACGTTTCGCTCCACGTGCTCGGAGGAAGTTCTTCCCGGCACGTGGAATGAAACGTCGGACACCGTGCCGAAACTACGCGCGGTATGATCCACGAAGCATTTGTCTTCATATGACTTCAGGTGGAACCAGCTAAATAAATAATTCTAGAACATGTGTACGTATGTCTGTATGTTGAACTTATTTCGCAACGTACGTAACCAACCGTGATGACTAATCGGAGGTGCGGGATTTCCTTTTATTCCAGAAGGCCGCAACTGGGTCTCATCAACACCCCCCGTTTCGAGGAGAGCCCCTGCATTTCGTGACGTTTCGCCATTTCCACTTGTGAAGTGGCATGCCGGGAGGAAACCGCAGCGCCGGAGAAAACCCCGCCGATCGATCAATACATCTATTTCTAGATTTGAAGCTTTCGTGACTGCAAGGATTCATACTCTTAGGTTTATTCGGTAAAGCCCCCATCGTCACACGCGATCTAAACCCAAAAACGTTGATTATGAATAATATTGGTCGCGAAAGCGTACGTGTTAAAAAGTCACGAAGGTAAAAAATAAAATTAAAAGTTAATAAAAGTAATCATGAAAATAAAATAACTTTTAATTGTATTTTTTACCTACGTGACTTTACCGAAAAAAACTTAAGAGTATCAATACATCGATATCGCGGTCACAATAGAGTGTATAGATCGAGTGAATATAACTGTTGTTAAACCCGCCACCGCTCGCCACGGCCAATTGGTTTGGTTCGTCACGTAAAACAAAGCGAGCCAATTCTTTACTAGTTCAGCACACCGGTTGTCTGTTGGATAGTAATCCCACAACATTTACCATTCGAGTGCAGGGAATCTTCTACTTGCGAACATTCGAATTACGAACTTTCAGATATATATGTACTGTATACTCTTTGGTTCTTTCGGTAAAGTCACGTAGGTAGAAAATATAATAAAACAAAAAATATATCATATCATATTATTTAATATGTCATATTATCTATATATTTTTTTCTACCTACGTGACTTTACCGAAAGAACCAAAGAGTATGGATTCCTGCAGTCACGAAAGCTTCAAATCAAGATTTTCAGAGATATGTCCAGTTTCCCGTTCGGACCGAGAGTCGTAAGTTCAACCGCCGCGCAATAGATGGCGGTGGTGGCATCTACATCTGCAGAACGTGAAGAACCAGTGGCGTCTACATCTGCAGAACGTGAAGAACCAGTGGCGTCTACATCTGCAGAACGTGAAGAACCAGTGGCATCTACATCTGCAGAACGTGAAGAACCAGTGGCATCTACATCTGCAGAACGTGAAGAACCAGTGGCGTCTACATCTGCAGAACGTGAATAACCAGTGGCATCTACATCTGCAGAACGTGAAGAACCAGTGGCGTCTACATCTGCAGAACGTGAAGAACCAGTGGCGTCTACATCTGCAGAACGTGAAGAACCAGTGGCGTCTACATCTGCAGAACGTGAAGAACCAGTGGCATCTACATCTGCAGAACGTGAAGAACCAGTGGCATCTACATCTGCAGAACGTGAAGAACCAGTGGCGTCTACATCTACAGGAGATTATACAACTTTTAAAGCCATTCCCCGTGTTTAGTGTACATGTCGTGTTAACATGTTTGGTAAAGTTGAACTTACGAACCAATCGACTTACGAACAGAACCTCTGGAACCCAACTCGTTCGTAAGTAGAGGAGTCCCTGTACGTTTCGCCGGTATTTCCAACCAGCCCCATCAGGCGACAGCCAGAGTTATGGAGAGATCCTCATGTTTCGGTCTTAAATATACGGATAAATATGACATCGTCACTTTGTGAGCCAATCACGTGCGAAGAGAAGAGGGGACGGAGGGGGAGGGGGGTTAATGCATTCATATAAATTACAATCGATCTATATTAATAGAGGTTTGTTTGGGTTAGATCGCGTAAATATATAAATGTGTCGTCAATCACGCCACCACCCGACACAGCCAACTAGTAAGGGCTGTCACGTGAACAGAACGTGGCCAATTCGTCACGTGACAACCCTTACTAGTTAGCTGTGTCGGGTGGTGGCGGGTTTAACGACACATGTATATATTTACGCGATCTAACCCAAAAAAACTCTATTATGGATGATTGGTCGCGAAAGCCTACTACGTGTTAAACTGGGCCTATATTATTGGTTGGGTTATTCACAGCTAAGGGGTCGTCCATAAATGACGTCACGCGATTTTGGACATTTTGGACGATTTTTGACCCCCCCCCCCCCCCATCGTCACACGGCGTCACATAAAGTCAGACCCCCCCTCAAATATGACGTCAGAAAGCTCTGTCCCCCCCCCCCCCACCAAAATAAACATACTTCAAATCGCTTTAAACTATTGTCATTGTAGTGCGTATTTAATGTGGCGCTGCACTCTGATGTTGTAGGAGAAAACATTTATTTAAAAAAGTAAATTTCATTAAGTAGAACGCGTTGTCTATATTAATTTCAAGTTGCGCATTTTGATGTGACGTCACATTTCTCAAACCCCCCCCCTCGTCACACATCGTCACAAATGTCTGACCCCCCCCTCCACCCCCAGATGCGTGACGGCATTTATGGACGGCCCCTAATCAACGTAACAATGCGCATGCATAACGCGCGTGCGTGATGCACATCCATTATTCATCTATCGCGGTGTTGCCATCTCCTGGTCGCTGCGCATCTCAGGGTTATCACAGAATCCATCAGTCAAGAGGCACTCTGCAACAACACCTCGCCAGGCAAGGCCGTAGCCATGGAGTCAACATTGGGGGGGGACCAAATCTTCCAGGGGGTCTGGGGGTCCCCCCACAGAAAAAAATATCTAATATTCTTAGGCTTTTTCGGTAAAGTCACGTAGGTAAAACATTAAAATTAATAAAAGTAAAATAAAATAAAAATCACGACGTTTCGGAGGCAACACAAGTCTCCGTCGTGATTTTTATTTTATCTTACTTTTATTAATTTTAATGTTTTACCTACGTGACTTTACCGAAAAAACCTAAGAATATGAATCCTTGCAGTCACGAAAGCTTCAAATCTAGAAAACAATATCTAAATTTGAAAACTCATTCCTGCCATTTCCTGCCTAAAATATGGAAAAAAAAATCGCTAACACAGAGGATGGACTTGTTATTTATTTTTTACAATAATGTCTAATAGTGTATTGTATTGCATTGCTCAGTTTTTTTCTTTTCTACCTTTTCTTGTCTCATTGTATGTAATGGCAGAGATTCGGGATTAATTAAGTACAACCATAACCACAATCATATAAACAGAAATCTATTTTGAGCATATTTGAATATGGGGGGGGGGGGATGTGTCCCACCAATATATATTATAATTACGGCCTTGGCTAAAGGTAAAAAAAAAATCACCGCTGGCACAGTTAACTAGAAGGCCCGTGAAATTCGTTTACATTTTTGTTGATAATTTGTAAACCTTATGTACGGCAAGTGGGATATAATATATGTTTAGGACCGTGTTAGTACGCGCGCCCATGTGCGTGTGTGTTCATATCAATAAACCGTCACGTTTAAACATGACAAAATGTATATAATTACGGTCACAAACATGAT